TAGATTGATTGGCCATGTGACATCTCCACAGGCAGTTCTGTGCTGAGTGCACAACTGCCTGTGTAGCTCACCAAAAGGCCAGATGTGGCTACTAGAATGTTCCAAGGCTTGGCATCTGGGTATTGGCAAGACCCAGCGGTAGCCTCAGGTCTTGTGCTAAAATAGGAAATAAAAGAAAGTTCCACAGTAGAGAGTCTAAATGACTCTGAAGACATACACAGGAATAAAAAGTAATTCAAAGTAACAGCTCTCAGTAAGTGATTGGTTTGTCTATACCAATTAAATATACTGAGAGAATGTCAAAATAGTTTCATGGCTTGAGCTAATGATTTTTCATTGGCTTTAAGCATGTTCTAAGTTAATTGTATCAATCAAATGAATTACTTTCCTGTAACTGAGAATATACAGCACATCTTTCAGTGCTAAATACGAAGAGAAGAAAGGCACCCATATTCTTACCCTCAGATTTCACGTACTTGTAGAGTGCTTTGAACTATTCTTTGCATTGCCATAAAATTTAATGTTGGAACCCATAATATGGTTGGTGGAATATAAAAATGAACTGTTTTATGGATATGACTTTATAGAGTTATTTTCTTATAGATTTATAGGTAGATTCTGAAAAGTAGCATGGTAAAAACAAGAACCTTGAAATCCATACTTTGAACTCATTAATTCCACTCCTCAAGAATCTATCCAAAATTAATTAGATATGAACAGAGATTTATTTGTAAGGATGTTCATTGTGAAAGTAAATAGCTAAATACTGATACAAATATGCATTTGTAGGGAATGTTACACATAATAAAGTATTCTGCAGCACTAAAATAAATTTTAAGACTGTTTAATGGCATTCCAATGCTATTAAAGACAAGACAAGACAAAACGATATAAACAATAGGGCCTGAATTGAAAAAAAAAAGGTGTATACTGACTCAATACTGGAAAAAATATATAAAAGTATGAGTATCATTATGTCTGAATGGTGGATTATGGGTAATTTTTATTTTCTTCTTCATTAGTTATTGTTGTTAATACATTTTATAAAGATCATACAATAAACATTTAAATTATGAAATAGGAATGAAAACAATGTGCATATTTATAGTATGAGTGGGACATATCACGTTTGAAAGGGCTGAAAAGCAACCACAACTTCTTCAAACATAAAACACTGAAAATTCTCCAGCTGCTCTTGGCAATGACACCCAGGTATTGGGATTTCTGCTTTGTTGTTACTGAGGATACGGCAACAGATTCAAAGGGAATCCTGATACTATTGCTCTGGTGGAAAGCTATACGTGAAAAGGAAAATCCACTTTTAAACTAAAATAGCTCAGAAGTATTTCTAATAGTACTGCATTGAGAAACAATTTCAAAATGGGAAACAAGTTTATGATAATAGCATCCTCTTGTTATAAAATTGATTTATTTCAATTTATTCCAAATGTTAGATCACTTATAGTTTCCTTCCCAAGATGTACCCTCTGTCTCATTTCTCCAGTACTTAATACTAAAAGTTAGTCACACCATTCTCATTGGGCTTCTGTTTTCTAGTTAAAGATCGTTAGAATTCTTTATTTTGCTTTATTTATCTCTTGTGCCCCTTAAGAATATTTATATCAATGAAATATTCGTAAGGGGCACAAGAGATAAATAAATA